GCTGTTACCATGATTACTTGGGGGAGAAAATCAATAATAATGAATATGGAAACCTTAAAGGCCATTAATTAACCTGTTACTCAATGGTGTGGAGCATAATAGCCAATCAAAACATTACAAAAAGCTATAATTGATTGATTGACTGATCTGGCAATCAGTATTTATGCACCTTTTATTAGCTCCTTCATAATTTGGATATTGACTAGTTATTTTCACCAGTTCAAGCAAGTAAACAACCATCTTCTTAGCTTTGTTATAACATCAGAAGGCGTGCTCAGATCCTTTTTACCCTTTTTTTAAATTGTCAGTTCTTGGAATGACTGTGCACATGAAATACACCAACTCCACAACTAAATTAAACACTTTGAAGTCACTTTTGCAGATGCAGCCTCTACTTAGTCAAAGGCAGTTTTGAGGACAGAGCCAGGGCCCTCTGATGATTAGGCCTGCTCTAAACCTTTTAATGGGAACAGGAGATTTACACACACATACACTCACACACACAGAGACTTGTTTGTTTTGCTTTGATTGAAGTTCCCCGTTCATTCCAGGAAAGCAGATCGATTTAATTAACAAATCTCAGGGGCTAAGGTTCTGCAGCCCTCTACCGTCACCACGGGGGATATGGTGTCAGGCACTGGAAAAGCTTGGGTCTTTTTAATGAGTACCGAAATGACCCCTTTATTGGAACCATTACTCTGCTGCGCATGGGCACCCTGCTCTATTCCCAGCAGATGCTGCTGTAAATCCTCACCAAGCCCCCTCAACATAATATGGCATAATGAGGCAGCAATGCCAATGCACTAGCCACTGCTTGTTCCCTGTAGCTGGACTGAGAATAAATGTATTGCACTACACCCACTTGAGACAAACTAGTTATGTCGACATTGGTTGGTTTGCTTTAGGAAATTATGGAGCCAATGACTGAATAGCATAAAAAAGGAAATTGCAGATTAGGGCTGCAAAATACGGACAAAATATCATATATAAATCATATATTATGTTGTGATTATACTGCGACATATTGTAATTGCAGTATATTCTGTGATGCATTAAAAATAGATAAGATTGGCCTGCATAATTTTCATTTGTTAGATCGTTTGAATGCTCGATTCATCCAAACCTCCAACACTGTAAAGAATTAAAAGTCAAGTCAACAAGTCAAACTTTTGCATAGCTTTTATTTAATTTTCTTAACTTAGTTAAGCCAGAAGTTCTCAGTTTGAAAAAACTCAACAAGACGATGAATGTTTTTGCCTACTTATAAAATTGCTTACGTTTTTAGGTGAATTGTTACTCAATTCTTCCTGCCTATTTAGCCATTAATTAATTAACTATTTCCCACCCGTAGGCTACGACTCCCAAAAACACAGTGCCCTGAGCTGGGGGCTACTTCTTCTCAGAATTTTGACCACAGGACTGAGGCGTTACTGGGATTCAAACTTAGGACTTCTTGATAATTAGACTGTTGCGTCACACAGGAGCCACAAAGTCCCTCACATGTCTTTGTCCAAGAAAGAATGTATAGGTGAATTAATCAGAGCAGTGCTTGGAGACTGTTACCTGTGGCATGACTGTTTTGTCATCAGAGGACAAGAGATCATGAGTTTAGATCCCAGCTATGCCTCGGCTCTCTGTGCTCAAAACACGAGAAGATGGAGCCAAAAATGTAAGCAATTTCAGCTTACAAGGAGACAACCATATTCACTGTTAATTAAGCTCAACTTAACCCTTGTGTGGTGTTCAGGTCTGTGGGACCCATTTTCAATGTTTACCAAAAGAATAAATGATGTGATTTATTGTTATTTCAACCTCAGATTCCTTGGTCTTTGCTCATTTTCTGTGAAGAACATATAAAATAACCCATTTTCAGTGTCTTCACTCTGTTCACCCCCCACACATTTATATTACACATGTGGTGTTGGGTGAACCTGCGGGGAGTAAAAGTGTGGAGGTGCTGTGTCCTTCACTCTGTTCTCCTCCTACATGGCCTGCTGTTAGTGTGTGTGTGTGTTTATATATATGTGTGTGTGTGTGTGTGTGAGGGTGGACAACATGGACAGGCTGCTGACTGGCTACAGCTGCTAAAGGAGAACCCTACGCTGGACACGTGTGATATTTTAAACATCTGGTATTTTTACATAAATTGTTTTGGCTGTATTGATTTAAAAAACAATAATGCACCAGACCACTGAGTAACAAACACCACACAAGGGTTTAACTGCAATTTGTAGACCTAAACCTAAATGCAGTGCTAAAAATGTGAGTTAAGACAACTTTTGACTCAAGTGAGAAAATAAGGATGAATGTAGGATGATGTACATTTTTTTTACAGTGAAAGAACATGTAATTAAACATGATGCTCACAACATACAATACAAAAATTCAGTAACTGTTAGATGCTCTTTTTCGTCTTCCTGAGTTTTCTTTTCAGACACACTTCAGTGTGAGAATTGTACTTAAAGGGGACGATAAAGGTAATAGAGAAGCACTCACAACCAAATTGTCTCTAAAAGTTTATCTTTGGTCCCCAGACCCCCATTGCTGCATCCCATATTAGTCCCGAGGAGCAGCTTGGCAGCCTCCTGAGGTTCGAGGGACACTCCCACGCATCGCATGCTACACGGTGGCTCCTTTTAGTCTGTTGTCATGGAAACAGTGGCGAGGTTGGTGGGGGGGCTGTTCCTGTGCCTCCCCATATCTTGAGATTTTTCATCTTTGTTTCAAACAGTTCCCGTGTGTTTGGGCAACAGTCTTGTGAAGTGCTTTTTAAAGGCTTTCCAAACTGATGTAGGAGTGCTATCAATTATAAACAGGCCACTGGCCAATCCATCCTCTTTTTGAGGAGTGAGGGTTGGAGGGAGGGTGAATGAAATTACCCCAGCGATGGAAGCCTGTCGTCATTCATAAATCTTGCCACCTTTTCCCTGTACTAAACTTTACTGCATTAGCCTAACAGAATTGCATTAACCATAATCACATTAACATGGATCTCTGTTTGAACATCCGAAGAACGTGATTGGCCAAGACTGACAGTCAGGCAACAGTCACTCTCTCTGTGTTGTTTAGAGCAGTGCTTCTCAACTTTTTTTCAGTCACGGCACCTTTTGAAGGTATGCAAAATCTCGAGTTACCCCTGTCTAAAACAGATAAAAATACACACTTTTCATCCCTCTGGCAGTCAATACATACATACACACCCACAAACACACCCCATACACATATACATACTGCTGCTGAGCTACCGCTTGGTGATGAAGTTGGGGGCTGAGATTCAGAATTATGAGGCTTTCTTTTCAAAAACCGTTCCATGTTTGTTTGTTTGCTTCATGCATCTCTTGTACTGCATTGTGCTGTGATTAAAAATGTATGTCAAAGGCTATTTTATGTCAGCCTTTACGTGGTCATACGCTGACCCCAGCGTTGATGTTGTGACATGAGGAAAGATTGTGAGACAAATTTTGACCATGTATGAGGCGGCTAATAATCTGCATGTTCATTCTAAGTCGCATAACTGTTGTTTTTTTGGGATTTTAATTAATTGTATTATGTCAGCAATGTCAGAATATTTTTTGACGGCACCCCTGACTATGCTAGATAGCACCCTGGTTGAGAAAGGCTGGATTAGAGAGAGAAATGGTCTCAAAAATGAACTGTTAAGGTACTAACTTTTTATTCAAATTTGCTATATTCACTATTTATTCTGTATGTTTCTTTCTTCTTTTCACTTTCTTCTAAGATGTTTTTTTTCTCTATTACAAATCAATAACGACCAATAATGAGTTGTTTAGGATTTAGTGTGCTGGATTGTTTACCCCTCTTCCATTACAAGCACACAATTCCCTTTTCTTAGTCAGTGAGTCTCATATGGTTGGTAAGCCAAGGCAAAAACGAATAAAGGAAAAATAGCACGTGTGAAAACAGTTATATATGCACATGTACAATGGACTGTTTACTCTGTGTACTAGTCCTAGTTTTGGCCTATTCATAATGACATACGTTAAAGCTGCACTACATAAGTCTTTTTTTTTAAATTGAGGCAGCATTACTGAGTCAGGAGAAAAAACAGGCTAAAATATGGGGTGAGTGCACTGCTGTGAGTCACCCTGTAAAGCCTGAAATAATAACTTAAAAGTCAGAGGCGTGATGTTGGATTTCGTAGGACAATGACATACGTTTTTATGTATTAACATCAAACGCATAGGCTCAAAGAGAAGGCCTGGCTTGATGTTAAGGTCTCCAATGTAAAATCAACATTAACTGACGAAGATATGACAACAGTGGATCATCCACTTACGTCCTCCCTCCAAGACAAGTCCTTCACCAAGTTTTGACGGAGTTCTCTTTGGATACACTGCAAAAAAATGGTCTCTTGTCGAGTAAAATTATCTTAAATTTAGTCAATAAATCTTAACATTTCTCCTGTTGAGATTGCTGCAAGCTTAATTTAAGGTTATGTATCTTTTTTCTAGACCGTTTTTAAGTATTAAGTCGGTTTATATTCGGTTAATTTCTGGCTGATTCCAGGTTGTTTAGCTGTTCTTCTGTCACAGCTGCCGACTGAAAAGCTGCTCAGTGGTGATGACAGTTTGGGAATTTAGTGTAAGGAACTGGAGAACAAACTGCCGGCTGTGCAGCGAGTGGGCGGAGCTCGTTACTCTGACGTAGCAACGAGCTGCTTGTTAAGGAACTATAATTTGGCGGAAACTGCAAACATTAAAACGTATTAGATACCACGTTCACGGCCCAGTTTATTAATTTATTACTCTATTTATTTAACTGTTGTATGAAAGCAATAGAACACTCAAGGTCGTGTGTTATCACCAATAACATCACGGCTGTGATTTGGACGCCGTAGATCATCACAGCCGTGATGTTATAGGTGATAACACACTCCCTCTCATGTCCTATTGCTTAAATAAATGATATCAGGAGCTTCTTAAATGTTCTTCTTAAAGTTTGTAAGGCTGAACTATGTTTTTCCTCTCTTTTCTGCACAGCTGGATGCAGACCGAGATGAGGAAGAAGTTTTCTATGACATCAGCATGACGGTGGACAACAAGCTGTTCCCCACCAAAGAACCTGTTGCAGGTAAGAACATTATCACTAATGAGCCTTGACAGATACATTATTCCCAGCTGAAAACACTGGTATCAGATTTTAATGATTTGTTACGAGCACTTAAGTGGAGTCACTGCATGTGGGTGAGATGTGAAGCGCAGCTGTCAGAAGATAAAGCAGGCCACTGAGGACGATGACCTAAGCAGCTATTTTATTGTTTATTTCTGGTAGCTGCCTTTCTGGTAATTCGGGGTTATTGCCATGAATATTTTCCATGTAGTTAGTAAGCGCATATTTTGCGTCTCCCACTTTAATTGTGCTAAATATAATCTTCTGTTATGAACAGCTAAGTGTTTATCGGATAGATTTTCCATGGAAAAACAGCGTCTATCAAAAAACAGCAGTGAGTTAAGATTAGTTCAAAACGCTGCTGATCCAAATTGGTAGACTTTATTCACAGTGGAAAAAAACGTGATGTCCTGGTGCCTTTCTACCCAAATCCATCAGCGTCTGTTCAGTAAAGCCATTTTTGGCTCACTTATTAATTAAATGGAAGATGTTTTGATCCAAGGCAGATCTTACTGACACTAATGGATCTGGCGTTTTCGAAAGTTCCTTAAATCAACTCTTTTTTGAAGTTGTGCTTTTAGAAGCAAGCAGTCGATGGATTATTTGGCTCTGTCCTGTGAAGGCCTATGAAGTGGTATGTTTTTTTCATAGATTTCTAAACTAAACTCTGTTTTTACTCAATATGATAATTACTTTGTTGGGTTTGACTTAGATTTTCTGTAGATACCTCACTACATCTGCACCATTTCCATCATCTAGCCTGAGGTTCAGCAGAGTCATTCCAAGAACGTTGACCTTTCATCCTGGAACTAATCTTGCCTTGCTGCACCGATTGGCCTTGGAGTTTATTTACTGGCGTCAGCAGTAAGAGCTGATGAGATGAATGGATGTTTTGGTGCTGTGGGAAGTTGCTGTGTGATAATATGCGCATTAATAGCTCATGTCCAGCTGCCAAAAAAAGCCACCAAACTTTGAGGATTACCACGCATAGAGGAGAAAAGGCAACCTGAACCCGTCTGCCTGCTGAAGGCTGAAGGACACAGGCAGCTTTATTTTCTGATTCATTCCAGAAAGCTTGGGCTGATTTATGAGTGGAAGGCAGTGACCAATTCATCATTTCAAAATGTCTGTGCATCTCAGAGTGGAGCAATAGAGTGGAATTGTGTGGCTTGTTGGAGGAGAATGTCATCTTCAGTGGACATATTCCGTATATTTACTGTAGATGAAAACAGCTTTGCAAAAATGTAATTGTGGTTAACCAAACACCAGCTTATCAATGGTGCACATTAACAGTTGCTTTAAAGTTGTATTGACTGTAATATAGGATATGAACTTCAAGGTTGCATTCAAAAACAACACAAACTGGGTTTAAATGTCAGGAGAGAAAATAAATAATGATTTAAGAGCTTGAGAAGCAAACTGTACTATAATTGCAATTTCTTGATTAGCCTGCTGTTGCACACGTGCACTGTATATGACATTTGTTTATTGAAAGAGTTCAACAGAACGTAAAAAAAGCTGTTGTTTTGTATAAAATATATTATTGGTATTTCTTTCTGTAGGCCAGCAGAGTAGTAGAGTTTGTTTTTGTGCAGTTTGAACGTGGTACTTTTAGATGTCTGTCTTATAGGAGCAAGAGCTTTAGGCCCAATCCCATTTCTTATTTTTACCCCTACCCCTTGTTTTCGAGTGTCACTTTGGAACTGAGTTACTGTGGGTACTGGTGGAAATCTTCCCCTACAAAATGGGACCCTCAAATAAAAAGAGCATTACTTCATTAACAGCTACCAGCGCTGCTCTGTAGGCGACCCTGCCAGTCTGCAGGGACAGCAGAGGAGGGTAAAGTTCAGCTCCTCACTGCTGGACTTTAGTTACATTTAGGGCATCATATGCCTTCAAAGAGGGGGGCAATTATTTATTATCACCCACCTCTAATTCTTCAGTGATATGAAGCTGAAGTCAGATATTCACCAGCTTCTTGTTCGAATTTTCCTGTTCCACCTTAAATGGAGCAGCAGTTACATTCTGGCACCTCTGGCACCATTTAAGGTGGAATGGGAAATTTAGCTATCTAGCTACTGAGACATCAGCATATTACTAGCATTTTTTATTCTTATTATGAAGAAAAGGGCCGTAGCCAGGCCCTTGTATGTATGTTTATTTGTGTAGGTTTTGGAAGAGAAGTATATTTCAGAATTTTTGATTAATTTCTGTAATATATACTGTAGTAGATTTTATATGGGAAAGATGTTGATGTTAGTGTTTTTAGCTCATTGTGTTATGAATGACAGTGTTTTTTGTTGAGAGAGAACTTTAGTTAGTAGTAGAAGGTATAATGAGGCGATTTAGAGGTGTGTGTGAAGTTTTATGGTAGAATGATCAGATCAGTATCAGCTGTGTTATTTCTTACTGTTGCCACATGTAATAGATATAGAACTCGTGCGCACTGTATATTCATGATTGTTATCGAAAGCCTTAAATGGTTTGGTAGAACAGTAAAACTATGTAGGCATTAATCCAAAAATCAAGCATTTGATTAAGCTCATAAACCCTCTCTCTGGCCATACAGAAATATTGACACAGCAGCTTAGAATAAACACATCCAGCACAGCTCAACAGATGCTGGCCAGAATGCTTTAGACAGATAACAGCATGGACTTGGAAAACCTCTGAACCCATTCTTTATACAGCCTGACCCCCAGCACAGTATCAGCCCGGGCACTGAGACAGCGCTGGTGTTTTTGTGTATTAGGATGTGAATGTCATGTGTGTGTCTATGTGAGTATGATGTGTGTTTGTGCATGAGGATTTCAGTGTGGTGTGTGTGTATTTGTGTATATTGGTAGATGCATACGTGCAAACTCGTTGTGGTTTGGCTGTTTTGAGTGCTAAATATAATGTCGATTTAAGGAGTTTTTCATTAATTAATGTTACGGTAAGCAACAGATTTTTAACAAATTAGTCAAAATCCTAGAAGCCAATGCAATTTTTGGACATGGCTTGCATTTGCACGGTTGTCAAATTCAATAAAACTAAATAATTACCCCTGTATTTTAGTCTCAGAATGCACCAGATTTTTCATGTTAAAATCCTTAAAGTGTTCTCCTAGTAACTGGGGTATGTGTGTTTATGTGCATACAGTACTTTGCGTAAGTTTACTTTGCAATCTCAGAAAATGATTTGTGATGCCGGTTAGTCTGGACATTAACTGTTTATTTGTTAAAAAAACACTAACATTAGAATAAATAAACATACACTGTTAATTGGTATGTGTGATTGGATTAGCTTAACTATTTCCAATGCTTGCCTTAAGGAATTTGATGTATTAACAGCTACCTTACATTTAACAAATCCATGCAATGGCTGGCATGCAGTGAGAAGTCAGGAACCAAAAGTCTCTTCTTCTAATCAGCATCTTAATGCATTTTAAATGTTTATTGTTATGTATTTTTTTTTAACTTTGCTAATGCATTTTTCATAGTTTGACCCTTCAAACCATGTGTAATTCCAGCCTGAAGCCCAGCTGCTCACATGCTGTTGTCAGTTGCCCTCTCATTCAAATACACCTTTTAAATGTGTAATTTAATGTAATTGATGGCTCTCTTGATATGGAGGTGAAGTTACATCAATGATCAGATCTGTGCTGAACTTCACATCTGAATTTAGCGCATCTTTCTATTTGAAAATAAATTGAGAATTTTACTTTGGTCAAAAAATGAGTGCGTACCTCATACAAACCAAATGCTAGTAAGCAAACATTAGCCTGCCGTTTACATCCTAATGCCTGTATCTGTACAAGTCATACAACACGTGAGCTTGGCTGGACGGGCCGCCTGGCCTATATAATGAAATGCTGGTGTGTATGTATATGTATGTGAGTTTATATGTGTGTCTGTGTGCTTGGCAGCATTGTGTGTGTGTGTATGTGTGTGTAAGCTAAGCTGTGTGCTGGAGCGGATGCTGACAGGAGAAGAACGAGGCTGAGAGCTGAAGCTGAGGCTGAGGCTGCAGTGGGCTGGACACTTCCTCTGTTCTGCAGGGCAGCGTGACGCATCAGAGCGAGGTCAGGTCAACTCTAAGCCTCAGCTTTAATCACGCAGACGTTACTCCTCACTCTCTGCAGCGCCACAGCATCGCTGCTGCCGCTTCAGAGGCTTTCTGATTTCACAGATAAGAAATTAAATTTCGTAGATGATGCATTATCGTTTTTCACAAAATTGACTTCAGCTTTAGCTCAAATTCCTTTTACCAAATAGGCCTTAATTGGAGGAATAACTACTTCAGCAAGCTGTCTGTCTCAGATCAGTATGTCTACTTTAAAGCCTCAGTGTACTTCACTCGAGGACGACGTTTCTCTGGCCTTGGCGTACAATGTGACATAATTGCGGAGAAAACAAACAGCTGGAGACAGCAGGGCGAATTCTGCAGAAAAACTGGGTTGGTGCAAAAGAGGAATGGCATCATTCAAAGATGAATAACTTTGAGGAGCAGCTCTCAGCCGAACAAGACCACAGAGAGTATGCAAGCTTGTAAGCTCATGAATGTGGTTTCAGCTCCGCGCAACCATCACAAGCTTAGCTTTGCTGAAAATATACCAAAGCCTTTAGTCTTGCCTGTGAAAGTATTCAGAGATTTCTTTGAGTTATAAAAAAATACGACCCTATTTGTATTACTGATGTGACGTCTTCAACATGGGGAGACATAGCCTGAGGTGCCTGTTTGTGGCAAACGGCAAAAGCAGTATAAATATGAGATTTTATCTCTAAAGGTGTGAGGCGTACTGCAGTTGCTGCATATCCTGTTGCTACGCAGTAATAGCGTCATAACTGTCAGTCAGTTGTGCTAGCTACATGTAGCTTTAATATGTTCAGTAAGAAAGCTCTGACACTTGCCCTTTTAGAAAGTGATCTACTTTTAACTTGCAAGTGTGGATCAGTGAGCAAAACCGAGCTAAAGTTAAA